TAAAGCAAACAAAATGTATAGTATATATAGTAAATAATGGCCTATTTATGTACTACATAGACTATTTATTTACTATATATTCATATCACTACATATTTGATCTTGCTTGCTGTCAAATGCAACAGTTATTTTTTTCAGCCGATAGAGACTTGGGTTAGACGTCTCATTCTATTGGAAGCTGTTTTTCAGTATAGTCCCACATTCTGGAATGCTAACCAAATATTCGCACACAAAATTCACATTTTCACTGAGACCAACAAAACAGCATGTAATAATATAGCTAATATGCTTTTATGCTGCTATTTGCACAAGTAAAAATAAACACCTGAAAAACTATTTGAGGTATTTTAATAGGTTATCCATTCAAAGTTGAATCGGTTCTCTATTCTTATGGTTAAAATTCTGTTAACAAACGTCACCTCTCATTCAGTAAATTTAACTAAAATGAACATCCACATTAACAGTCAACCCTATCACCGCACTCCACTGCCTCATGACAGGCAGCTAACTAGTGTACAAAAAGTAAAGGGAAGAAAAGATAAAAATTAAAAGAATGCTGATAGATTTCTATTGTCAACTGCCTTAATACGCAGATAAAGTAATACCAAGATAGTGATCATGTGGTGAATATAGATACAGCAACAGAAAAGGTGGCTTTATTTATTTATTTATTTATTTTTTCTTTAAATAAAACCAGTGGCCCGACTGTGAAATTTGCTCATTCACTAGCACTAACACATATTCAGGACAGTGATTGCAAGTTGCATTGCAGTTGTTGGACTTAATTTTCAGCTCCTAAACATCAACACATTCTCACTCCCAAATTATTACATATTGATCCATCATTTTGCAATGTGTAGGGTCCTCCATAGCTTTAAAGAAGAAAGCCTTGGTAATATGCTGACACAAAAGGCATGGCCAATTTTATCCATAACATTAACTGATACAATGGGTCATATTTTCTGGCATTGCTGGAGTGTGAATTTTATAAAGTATACAGTCAAAATTATTTCTTACATTGAATTATGAACATTTGTAAGCACATAACCCAACTCCTGGCACTAAACCTAACCATTTGTCAATATAAAACACAGGATATAGTATGCAGACACAACTAGAGTCGCAATTTATTCAAAAGTCTTCCAAGGCATGATGGGTTATATGTGGGAGGAATTGATGTGATCCAAGCATCCATTTGCTGCACAGTTTAGAGGTTGTCTGTCGCAAATTAAAACATTGCTGCCTGAAAAAATGAATCAAAATAATCGGAGAACCCTGCTTGTCATAATACGATGCTGAAAGGCAACCCGAGCATCACAAAGCGATGAGAAGTCCTGACTGAGCATGTGATGAGTGGGGAGTGAGAATGTGTTTGAAAATGTGCTCCTAATGTGCTTAAAAACAAGAGTCAATTTTGAGCCCTGAGATATCTAATACTTATAAAGTGTGTGTGAAAAGACACAACACAGCATAAAAACTTCCCCTTAAATTAAAAACAAAAAGTTTTCAATAAGCTGCACCTTCTGATTATGGTGAGCTGCAAGAAACGTATTACTCAAGACAACAGAAATAACTTGTCATTACAACACTAGATATTGTTTAACAGTGGTTGCAACAGAGCCTGTTACAGCAACATTTTTACTTCATTTTAAGTTTGATTATGGACTTAAAGGTGCAGTAGATGATCTGCCCGAATGCTAACCGCTTAGCATAGTATCTTTCAAATACAATCCTTCCCCTGTGTCCAAAGCCACGGCTCCTGAAATCGCGAACGCACGCATTAAAGATGATGGAAACGATTATGTTTAGATTAGATTGTTATTCGACAGGTTGGAAAACTTTATAGTACTTAATAATACTAAAATTCTGAACAACAACAAAAAAAAAACTATTATATCTAGCATGTTTGCAGTTATGTAGTTAGCAAGCAAAGTAACATGGTAAACAACATAGGGTCCTTGTCACAAGTTGTCATTTTTCAAAAATGAATCAAAGTGAATATAAAGCCAACTTCACCTAATGTCAAGTAAATCAGGCTAGGCAGAATAACGCTATTTATTTTTGCATATGGCGCTATTATTATTGCATATTTTGTATGCATGCTTAGAAACGGAATTTGAGGTTAAACTAATGTGCATCTTCATTGTCTATGTCATTTCGTTTCTATCGTTCTTCAATCAAACAAACCAAGTGGTCAAACCAAGCTTTCACTCTTTATTCAAAGCCCAAAATGAAATTTTTAGCTTAATGTCGTCAATAATGCTCATGTGCTGGGTGTACAATGTTCACAGAGCTTTCAAAATGATTTTAAAGCAAAGAATAAATGAATAAATAGATGGCTATTGTAGATGCTTAAATAAATTATTTAAAAAATAATAATAAATCAAACAGTCTGAAAATCACGAACAAGCGCATTAAAGATGACAGAGACCCACTAGATCATGTCATTCGCTAGTTCGGAAACTTTATAGTACTTAATAATACTACAATTCTAAACAAACAAAAAAAATGTGTTATATCTAGCATGTTTGAGGTTATGTAGCAAAGTAGCATGGTACACAATATAGGGGCCGCGTCACAGGTTGTCATTGTTCAAAAATGAACCAAAGTGAATATGAAAACAACTTCACCTAATGTTAAGTAAATCAGGCTTGGCAGAATAAAGCTATTTATTATGTTTTGTTGTTAATCTAAATAAAATTTTACATTACTGATGCTGTAAAAGGTCCCTTATAAAACTGAAAATAGTCACATTAAGCTTCTGCCGGAAGATTTCAGTGGCTGAACAACACTTTTGTCCATATAACCCATTTGTAATACAAACAAAATCTACATCAGCTTTGCGTGACTAAAATGGTTTTCAAACTTAACCTGTCTAAAAGAAATCCTTCAGTCATTGTGTCATCATTCCTCCAGTGTGCAACAGTTACTCCAATACTGATTCAGGATTTTAAAAGTTGATTGAGCATTTGTATTTAGCACTGTCACTCATGTCCTTGTGACCGCAGCCCACGTGAACGCACATCGGTGGGTCCGCTTGAACGGATGTGCCGTTGTTCAAATTTACATTTGCTGACAAACTGTTTGGTCTACTCATCAAAATTATGGGAAATGTTGGCCAGTCAATATTTAATTGTATAAACATTTTTTAGTCTTATACCTTGCCCAGAATGTAAACACAAATATAAACGCATTTAGATCATTTACTTTAATTATTATTATTGGAATGTGAAAAGACTTTCAACCAGCACAACAAAAAAAGTATCTGAAGACAATTACCTACTACGCCTTTAAACTGTGTAATAAAAGAGGAAGGCTGACAACCAAAAGCTTGATAAACCGAACTACTGAATATTGAAATAGCAGCAGGTCAGTTTACGCCTAAAATCTGGTTAGTAATGGATTGGGTTATTAAAATGAATATATATAACCATTCATTTTTATGACTTTTCTGTGCAAATGCACAGACATGACTTGAAATAGTTGAATAATTTTATAATTTTAATAATAAGTTGTAAGGTAGTTACACTAAAGTATGCATAACTTATCGTAATTACTACAGTAAGTACATGGAACATGTGCAACAATGCACCATAATATTAAGCGTCACCTATGTTGTTTTGATCATTTGCTAACAAACAAACAAAAAAAATCATCTAAAACTCCAGAAATGGAAAAAACTTTGTGTTAATCTTAAATTAAAAATCAACCCATTAAAAGTAGTTGTGTAGGTTTGAGGTAAACATTATGCCATTAATTGCTCATGAGTACGAGTACGCTTTAAAAAAAAAGCACATGGAAGTTGGACAGGGGGGGGGGGGGGGGGGGGGTGAATATAAGTTATTTAATAGATACAACACACAAGCACCACCTACACACTGTGCATAACACACACACACGCGCACACTGTAATAACAGACAGGGCTGATAACATACAATAGCAGTAGTTGCAGCGAGGATAATCTCCTCCCACACACGTGGGCTGTGCAGAACAACCTGCCAGCAGCGTCTCTCATCCATACTGCCAGCAGGCCTCCATTGCAGAAGTGTGTTCGTCTCTGGTGCCATGTGTTTCTAAACTACCAGTAAGCCATGTGTGCATGAGTGTGTGTATAGGAAATGCTGCCACCTCACTGCAGGGACCCAATAACATCTAATAACCAATGTCTCACATGAAGTCGCTTTAGGTCTGCCCCTCAGGTACATTGTTAGCTAAGCTGTTGGTAAATTAGCTAGTAACGGAATGCATCTTACGCCCTTAGCAAAATGGACCGTCTGCTAGAAAGAGATCTGAGATTATCTGTTCTTTGGTTGAAAGTGATAATACAAGTGCTTACCCATTGTGTTTTCTAAACCAAACTGAGTAATTAAAAAAAAACACACTCCACAAATTAGCAATAATGTTTCTTTTCTTGCCACCAATCACCCTCCACCCACGCTCAATGTGACGGGGGTGGGGCTTTTCTAGTATTCAGAGCCAGTGCATCTCCTCGGAGTAAGCATTCTTAACGCACGCTCACCCACATGCATTGGTTAAGCAAAGAGTGAAAGTGTGGGGGAAGGTGAAAATGAAAAGTTGAGGATGAGCAGAGAACTGATTATGCCAGCTCCTTCATCTCTCCTCTTTTCCTGAGAGGCTTTTTACATAGCCATTTCTGCCATGAAAACACGGCAAAATTCAGATCTTGGAATGATACAAGTAGATATCTTACTACTAATTCAACCCACAAACAAATGCCAAATGTAAAGAGATAGACGAGATCGGAAATGGCAGGGAAAGATAAGAGGAAACGATCTGCGCAAAGGAGTTACATCCTTTCTCCTACTCCGAGACCCCCTATGTGCTGTTAGCATATGAAGAAAGCATGCAACAGCTGCGCACAAGCACGCTGACATCTTGCATAACCGAAGCAATAAAATCTCACCTCTTCTGTGATATCATATACTGTTAAACCACATAGCATTACTACAGAAAAAAAAGGAAATGGAGCACGACTTACCTCTCTTTTACTCTTTTTTTTCTATTTTCCCCTGCAATCCACTGCCTTCAACAGTCCATAACCCAGCAGTTTATAGCTGACGATGATGGGAGTTTTAAAAGACCAAGTACAGAGATCACAGAGAACAAGAATAACCGTGTCAATTCAACAAGTACTCAAGATTCTTCGAAGCCCTATGCAGTCAAGAGTGGACCAAACTCTGGCAGCGACCCTCCCCCAGTGACGTCAAGAGCCAGTCACGTGATTGAATAAAAAGCAGAAGCGAGCTAGTGTTGCCCTGGCAACAGGCAGACAGTTCTATAGCGATTTCAATAGGTCATCTGTCAGAGCTGCACTGAAAGAGACCCTCACAAAACCACAGACTAATTTGCAGTCAAAATGAGTGAGCACTTTAAAAGAAAAGCTTTAGTGTAGACAGGAAGCTGCATTCAGCAGAAAAAAAAAAGACAAAAACTGTGAATGCATTAATTGTCAAAATCGTATTGCACTGCGTAAAAAAGCAGAGGTTGCGAAAGCAGGTTTGTGACAGACATTCCTGTTGTTTCAGACATGTTTGAACACTGGTGTTCTGGTGCTGAGTCAAAGATTCCCATGGGATTCTGGAGTCGAATTATAAACATTCTTTGGTACCACAAAGGAAAACGGAACATAAGCAGACTGCATTATGTCAATCCAATTACATTATCAAACTGCCTGAGAACAAAAATATTGTATGAAGTTTGTGTGATGCATTAACAGTTGGTTTGTCATTACATTTTTTAGCTGAAAAAGAGCATTCAAAACTCAAATCATATCAAAACGGCTGAAGAATTACTAAAGCTGCAACACCTAGCCTTATTTTACACATTTTTGCAATTATTCGTGACAACCACAAGCATGAAATATAAGATATTAAGGTCCAAAAATAACCTCAAATTACAAACAAAAGGACAAACATGACTGAAGGAAAAAATTGAATTTAGACAAGACATATTTCAGTAGCTACAGTATGTCTACATGCAACCAAATCATTCAATGATAATCTAAATCTATTGTGTTAAAAAGAAACTAAGAAAATACCTCAATCAATCAGAGTCATCTAGATCACAATTAACTGCTGATCAGATTGTAAAGTCAGCGTAGACCAGCAATAAACAGAGAAAAGCATCAATCATGTTACAATCTGAATATTTATATAATGTATAATATGACTGGACATTATTTTGGTAATGAGCTATGACGCAGTTTGGCATCAACTGATTGGACTATAGAAGTCCACCGCAAAAGAGGATTCCAGAGAATGCAGTCATGTAAACTTTGGTTCCAACCCCATTAGAATGATGCTCTCATTGTTGGTGGTGTGAACACACAACTTTGCTGCCGTCAGAATTTTGACGCTCTCGTAGGCAACAGTGTTAACACATGGTTACAATAAACAGAGAAGTTCTCTGCAGCCTGTGAAGTCTCGCTTCTCCTGTTTTTGAGCTGTGAAATTGACAGAACTCTAAACCAATGGCATTGTACCTTAAATTCATGGGAAATAAATGGAAGTGAACCGGAGAGGGATTGGTCTATTCTACTTCAAGGGGGCCATGCATATTCTTAGGGGTGCCACCCCATACCACCACTTTAGAACTGCCCCTGGAGTTCATTCAAGTTCTCACCATACAAAGTAATATAGGCCTCTGCAACCATTTTTTGATAATGTTCAAGATAAAATTTCTGGTGTGACTGCAGAATTTTAAGGTCGTTCAGGACTGGAACATGTACCTTCTTAACCAATCAGGTTTGATTTGCCAAAAACCCTACCTGTACTGTCCCTGCTGTGCAGTCAATGTGAGGCACATAGATGTAACACTGGCATGCATATAAAGCAGCCTATAGGGTATTATTGTAAAACACAGTGATGAGAGAGAGAGAGAGAGAGAGAGAGAGAGAGACAGAGACAGAAAGAGAGAGGGAGAGAGAGAGAGAGAGAGAGAAGACCATCAACACATGCAGGTGAGGGTACATGTGCACAAAGTGAGACAGAGAGGAAGAAATATAATTTTCAGTAGCAAAATCTATCATAGCACATGTGGTTGGAGTACAATGTTGTGCATCTCAAATATATCTGTGCAATAAACAATCCTTTTTTAAAATGCTGCCTGTCAGTTGAAGTGTCGATGTCAAACAAACTGTTGCAAAGCTGTTGCATGCAAACAAACAAGCGCAATCCTATGGAAAACTCACCACATTGATAAAATCTTGAATTATGCTTATTCAAATACAGATTTGTTAACTGCATAACTCTTTATTATTTTATAATTTTTACATTAAGAACAGATGGAACGATGCAATGCTTATAAAAACAAGATCTGGCAACAGGCAGCAGAGGCTGCAGCCGCGCCCACTGAAGCTTGTTTCCTCAGCCTGCGTCACACTGCTGCTGTGAGTCAGAGATGTGACTTTATTCAGTGACATGATTTTCAATAATTTTTCAATCATAGCCCTTAATATTGGACTTAAGGTAAAAACTGACAAAGGTCTGGACAAATGGAGGATCGTCTGATGTTTTGATCTGTCATTCTAATGATGATTAAAATAGAAAGTTAATTATAATAGTCTAATATTTACAGTTCATAGTTTAAGAAAATAGTTTATAGTTTAAGAAAATACATGATTGTCATTTTTAAAGCAGATATACAGTGTACATATAGTCCTAAATGTTGTATACATAAGTTCTTTTTTAAGGCTATTTCATCCCCCAAAGAAAATTGCAGTGTTCAATTGAACGTTCAATTTAAAATGTACAGTGCTCAGCATGAATGAGCACACACCACACAGATCTCCTTTAAAATTCAGATTTTCTATAGGACGCTTTACAATAATATATTTGGGCATGCCTAACATTTATGTTTTGTTTCATTGCAACCAGGATATATTATCTATATTTACTTAGAAATGAAAAATAATATTCATTTCACATCAAGAATTCTAATGTGAAAACGCACTGATAAACACACAATGCTTCCATTCAATTTTAGAAATCTAGACAAAAAATTCAGATTAAAACATTTAGCAAATATCAAGTAACCATTCAAATTTACATCAAGGCAAAACCAGCATATACAGTTGACCCTTCGCTAAGCCACACCTGAAAACCGCCACACACCAATAGTGGCTAAACAACCGTAGCTACACGCAGGAGGCCTGTCAAGCTTTCAAGCGGGTGAAACAAGCCAAAGCGTTGTGCATATGGACTGTGCAAATCTGACACCCGGTATCCTAATGCTGTGTTCACATTAGACACCGAACACGTGGATAAATCGCGCTATTTCTGTGTAAATAGCTACGTAAACATTTGAGTTTACTCGCGTCATTCGCGCGTCAAATTTACTTCAGAACAGACGCGGATTTGCCTGACTTTAGCTTTGTTGCTAACTGGCTAACATGGATTTTATTAAGAAAATAAGCGTTTGTGTGTTTTATGAAGGCTGAAAAACAGCGTCAATATGTTTAGGGTCGTGTCTGAGTCCACTAGATCCTTTCAGAGGTGCATCCAGCTCTATAAGCTCAAACTCCTCCAGAAACTTAACCTGGATGCTGGAGGCTTTTAGCGGTGCTTCTGACTGAGCCGAGCCCAGTTTGATGCACTGTTGTCTCCCAGAGGATTTTCCCCGGGACACCAACAACAGGCCCTACAGCAAAATCACACCCACACAAGAGCAAGCTCCTGATCGGGTAACGTGGCGCGAATGTCCACTTAAGTTCAGATTTTTTAACTCGAGTGACTTGCGAAAAACACGCAAAATGCTCAATTTGCGTCGCACAATTCGCATCGCACCATTCACGCAATTTGCGCCGTGCCATTCATGCGTATCGTGCCGCAGGGCATGTTTTCGCGCGTTTGCATTGCCTTAACATGTAAATCACTCACGCTTGACGCGCCTTCCGCGTCTTCCGCGTCTGGTGTGAACACAGCATAAAAGTTTGGACGGGGTGGAAGAATTTTTTCCCCTTTTCAAAACCTAAAACCCAAAGGGAGAAACACCAGCGTGGATCAAGCTCTGTGAGGGGTGCTAAAAGAGCGGAGTTAAAGTTAATTTTGCTTTCGATATATTTTTGACACATCCAGTGATAGACGGCAATAACTCACACACCTCTTACCCTATACAGATCTAAACTGTGTTTCCTACAAAAATACAAAGCAGGTTATGTTTCCCAGCCGTCATTTTCTTTTTTGCTCAATATTATGAGCACTGCTCCGTTTAAGCCTTCGCCATAGTAGTCATGCTAATAGCAATCACATATCCATCGGTATCAAGCTACAAATATTTGTAATTACATATCAACAGAACAAAACCGCGATGTCATCACAATCTAAACACATCAATATACTTCACCCGCAGCTGTTTTTAAATATCCCTCATGTCTATGTTACAGCTACAGTTCACTGATGTTTCTGTCCGTTGTTGAGAGATTTAGTCATTATACTGTGTTAGTGTCAGCTTTGGTGCTTGATTAATATTTGCTGGTAGGAAAAATCTATTTGTTTACTTCTGCTATTTATATTTTGATTTGCATTTCAATTTATTTATTTTTTCCACTTAACTGCAAATTAGAATAGAAACGGTATAAAAAGCACACTAACATACTGATAGTAATAGGTACCGTACACTGTTATGGGTCAGTGATGCTAATATTTAGCCCAAATTCATTAATTTCCCCTTTCTGGCTGCTCTTTCTATAAATGACTTATGTAAAAGCAATGTCCATGCGCGTTTCCTCGTCGTTTAGTAACGGTATATTTCATTGAACAACAATTAATCTATCAGGCTTTTTGGCTAAAATAGAGATAACAGAGTTTAATTTGTTATTATTAAACTATTTTTAAATTTCACCTCTTCTGCTGTGCATGAACTAAGCTGTTGAATGGTCAGCGTATGAGGCGGCTAGGCTAACCTAGCTTCAATTTTGATTAAGTTATTTTCTAATCGGTTGTATACTAATACTAATAATATACTGCTGTAATGCATACAGCAGTCCTTTTTTGTCTGGCTTTCACCTGTTCACCAAAAATGACTAATTATATCTCTGTCTGACATCGGGGCATACATATTGTACTAGACGTGCCAGGCACAAAAGCTTGACAGGCGTAGCAACAGTAACTAAGGAGGGCGGGGCTTAGTGAAGGGTCAATTTACAGAATGATTAATTAATATGAACAATCATTATGGTTGTTAGAAAAAAATGG